CCATTTCAATGAAACTTAGTACAAAGATGCTCTAGGACAATGTACAAACCTAATTAGTTTGGGGTAAAAATCTGTTCATATTAATTCCCTAATAAGCATAATAATTCATAATTTTTTGGTTCTAATCACATTTCAATTAAACTTGGAGACATAGATTTTCTGTTACATTGCGCAGACCTCATTAGTTTTACACTCAAATCTGGTCATATTAATTTTCTGATTTGCATAATTAGTTTTCAGCTAAGTAATTTCGAATTATATTTAATGTGTCTCCAATACTCTCAGCACATGGGAGTTCTTTCTAAGCTTTCTTTGATTTTTAGTGGAGTGGATCGCCAACCGGCTTGTTTTCATTGGCAAAATCGTTCAGCAACATGTTTGGCATATTAGGTGTACATCACATGGACTACTACGATTGAGAGAACTTTATGTATGTTGAATGAGTTTTATAAACCCCGAAGGGCTCTTGGAAGATCCACCCGCAGTAAAATTAGCGATTGCCATGGAGGCGCAACCATGAACATCAAAATCCCAGGAGGTTTCTGCTGGCGACGTTACCCAGTTCCAAATAAAGATCACCAACGCCAAATAAGCAACATTTTAACCGGTAATCAAGTTTAATTCAATCCACAGCTAACAAGCAACATCACAAGTGAAGTTGTAGCGTGAAGCTCAGCGACTACTGCTGACAACGTAAGTCATGCTTGCGTGCCGTCACCATTGTATTCAAACGAATCACGTGGTGTGCCGTTTTCTTTCAAACCCGGGATTCGATCAATAGGGGAGTTTCAGTAAAAAAGCACATTGCAAATCATGCAAATTCAACATTTTCAAACCAGTATACTAAAACAGAAATGCTCAGCGATGCAAAAGAATGATAGATGTTACTTTTCATTATACACATCTCTGTTGATACAATCCCTCACATATTCTATTCCCAGTTATACCTGCGTAAATGGATTAGCCTCTTTTGAGGTTGACATTCAGATTAAAATTGGCTGTTGCATACACTTTCGCCGGTCAGGAAAATGTGTTTAGTTAGCTCTCATTCAAGTAACAATGCAGATTTCCCAGTGGGAGTGAAACTATTCGACTCTGCCATTAAAAATAGGGATGTTTTGAGCAAAAAAACGAATAACCCTGGAGTGCACACAACACACTGAATTTCTGAACAAATCTTGCATTATTTACAGCAGCAGAATACCACAGAAATATCAGACAAAACATGGAAACACTAAATATATGTATTTTGGCCTGAACCCTCTCTATTGCAATTCCAGGAATTACCCCCCCCCCCCATATGTGCAACCATTTTCCACCTTGGTACCACCCAAGCCTGAAAACAAAATCTTAATACCACGCTGAAGCGTTTGGTAATAAAATATTTCAGTCCAAGCCAAATCGAGGTCAAAGGGTAAGATTGCGTGCATATAATTATAGATAGTTAAACAAAAATTATTTGAACTTTTGTCAGCTGTTCAACATCCATGGCGTTGACAGACGATGCAAAGAAAATCTGCCACTCAGTGTCGCGCTCTGACACATCAATTTTTTTTTTCAAACATCGGCCATTTTGTTTCACCATGAAAACCGTTTTATTAGATCTCTTATCAGAGACACTTGAACGATTAGCTTGTTTGTAAACTGTCAGCGAGTACAGTGGGGTAGTAATAAGTAATTTTTTCATCATACAGTTAAGTTCATAAAAAACACCTACATTGCTATGCTGAATGGTGGGCTTTTTTAATATATTAACCACTCAGCAGATCAGTGGGTGACTCGCATTTTCAGTTATTGATAGCACACGG